TGCTTGCAAACAAAGGCGGGGGATTACAAAACCAAAAACAAAAAAAGAAGTATGCGTTGCTACTCAAAACTCCATATCAGTAGTTGCTTGCTAGCAAAGACAAGGGAACAAAGAAGAAGCATAAATCCACAATGAAAGCCAGTTACTACTCAAAATTTCATATCAATAGTGAATTTATAATTAAAAAAAACAGTTCATGCTTTCACCAAAAGCCATATAAGAATCTTTCTTCAGCTTCTCCCACCTAATTAAATCCCTATTGGAAAAAAATCTTGCTTTCACTACTCAAAACTCCATGTTCTTTTCTTATCATTTTTTTAGGGTGGACTTTCAAAAACAATATAATCCAAGAATGGGCAATCCGATTGTTCCCAAAATGGCAGCAACTAAAACAACACCTAGAACAGTTTAATTAAATCCCTAGACGCCGATTACCTTCATGGGCATCTCTAAACTGTATTTCAACAGCTTCGTAACCTAAATCAATATACAATATAACCTATCAGAAGAGAAACTCTTCATAGTTTCACAATTCTGTTTCTGAGAATGAGAAATAAGACCATGGCAAAAAGACAGACTGCTGAAAGAAATGAAAATCTTTCTGTGTCCATTCGCACTATCATGACCATACAAAGAAAAAAGAATAGAGAGAGAGCAAACAAATGTCCATAAACAAATTACCATATTGGTACGAAATAATTTATATGATCTTGAAATACTTACAGCAAAAGAGCAGCAGAGAAATCTGGCTTGTTCAAGTTTATCCCAGCAGTGTGCTTGGTAAAAGAAGCAGAAGCTGTAACAAATCCTACTTCACCACCCAAATAAAGCTCGTTGCTGCCGATTGTTGCCGAAAGCTCCAACTATGTTATGCTGTTGTGAGTTTTTTTTTTAAGTAAAATGACGAAAAGTACCTGGGGACGCATGTGAAAGTCACATGCCGTCCCCGACGTCGTTCAGCCGTACCCTGCCACCGTGGCATGTCCCCGGTACGTACCCCAGCCGTCCCCGTGCCGGGGATGTATCGGTGAAAATGCATCTCTATGGCGTCCCGGTGCTTCCTTGGCAATCACCATAGGAGGGGTTTCAATGATTGTAACAGCTTCACATGTCTTCTTCTTGTGAAGCTCTATAAAGAAATAAAGAATATCAAATAAAGTAGAACTCCAATTTTAAATTTAAAGATGCATAAACCAATATACAAATGTAATTCAATAAAAGAAGCTCAATGCATTTTCAGGCTAATGTTTACAAAGCTCGGAAAAAAGATAACTGCATCACAAGCAAACAATAAGAATAATCGGGTGAGTTAGTAGATGAAAACCAACTTACTAGATCCGGGCTTTTCGACCTCTGACAATGTGAGTCGTACCAGCCTTGTACCCCAAAAAGGCAGTGAGCTTGCAAGGTTTGCTAGGGTTATCCTTTGGGAATGCCTTCACTGCACCAACACAAAACATCACCATCACATAAAAATACAATAGCTACAAATCAGATGCATTTCTAGAATTTCTACAGCTACATCATCCCATTATTGTTAAATAAGCAAAAGAAAATGGAAAAGAATACCTTTTCCTCTGTGACGAGAAGCTCGCTTCCTTGGAAGAAATCCAAGGGAACCATGCCTTGGGTGCTCAAATTTCCTGTGAGACATTCTTCCGCTCCTTCACCCAATAATATAAACAATACAAAAAGATTAAAAATCTACAAACAAAGCAATGTTCTTCCTATAGATTTATAGAATTAACAAAAAATAAAAGTGGCAAACAGAAAGTGTTCATTACCTACAATCCAATAAAGAATTTACAAATATTTTCAGAGTGATACAGATACAAAGATAGAGATAAAGGGAGAAGACAGATCATTTATATTTTACTTTCCACCATTTTCTACGGAAAATTAAGTAAAACAGGAAGTGAATCACCTGCGGCTCTCCGGTTGCTTTCTAGCCCTCACTCACACAGAATCACTAAAAACCCTAGCTGGTGTTTCTTACAGGCTTAATATAATATAATATAAAAATAAGTACTGTACTCAAAATTATTTTTTGTACGTAAAAAAATTCGATAAAAATATGTCTAATATTTTATCTATTATACTTTGAAGTAACTACGTCAAAATTAATTATAAGAGACATATGTCACATTTATATTTTATCTCAAAATTTTTAATTTTAAAAAGAATAAAAATACTTTCAAAAAAGAAAAGAATTTAAACCCTGTTGCGACCTTTATCTTCTCGTCCCTATCGTAGTCTCTTCCCTCATCCCCATGTTTTCTCTCCCTCTATCTCTCTTTTCCGTCATTTTCCTCAACAATAGACTAACCGTGCTCTGATGACATATGGATGAAGAATCGTCGAAATCAACGACGACAGAAAAAATCGCGACGCTAAATCATCCATTTTTACTGCACTTGAATTATGGGGATTTGATCATTGAGTGTTCAGACGGTTGAATGTTGATTTCAACCGATTGCCAACATTTAAAAAATTATAAGCTGTATAGTTTATAATATCAATATTTTTATTATTATCTATATAAAAGTATAATTGTGAAAATTATTTCAAACTTATCAAAATATCCTTAATTATTTACTATATCACTAATTTTTTTCATTTAATTTTTGTATGATAATATTTATGATATTCTTTTAATAAAATGTAAATCATGTTAAAAACTTTTGGTAAATAAATTTTTTTCACAATTGCAAGTTACGTTAAGAGAAGTTACGAAAAATGAATCAAAATAGTTAATTTCTTTATTGAATTAATTTATCTTTAGACTTATAATTGCTTTATTGAATCAAAAAAAGTTTTCCTTACAATTAAATGATTTACACCATATTTAGTCAATCACATATTTAAAAAATGAAAAATTCTATAACGCTCGACAAGTATAGATGAACACCAATAAATTAATTTATAAAATGTTAAATTATAAAGTACTCAACATATTATAATAATTTAGTTGAAAATCTAAATGTAATTTATTTGAAATACAATATCAGTTACATTAGTTTTAGGGTAAACTACACGGGTGACCACTCAACTATGGTCAAAAATCATTTTGACCACCGATGTTTCGATTTGATCAAACAAACCACCCAACTATTTAAATGTTTCAATCAAGCCACTGTCCGTTAATTTTTAACGAATGAGGTGACATGGCAGTTAAAAAACATGGTATAATTATATATTTAGTCCTCAATATTTATATATATTATATCAATTTAGTCATAATTTAATTTAATTAAAATAAATTTAATCTTCAAATTAAATAGTGACATGTGTTACTGCCTATGATATTTTCTTAATTTTTGTTTATTTAATTCAATAAATTTTCCATCCAATAAAGTGGTGCACGTGTCACCACCCTATTAAAGAGAGAAAATAATTATGAACAATGTGTTGAAGAGATTGAACCTAGGGCATTCTTGTACCAAGTCCCATGCCTTAACCACTCAACTAAGTCTAGCATAATGCTTCAAATTACAATATTCGGATTACAACGTATTCCACGTTAATGGCATGTGTCATCATCCGATTGAATGACTAAATATATTTTAATTTATTTTTAATATAATAAATGTATTTTCCTTTAATCAGAGGGTGACACGTGTTACCCTTTTAAAAGAAAATAATAAATCATGCAACAAGCAAACCGGGGGCTTCAAACCCAAATTCCTTTGGCTTAATTAGTTGGAGCCAAACCATTGAGCCAAGGCATATATTTGGTATTTTATAGACAACAAATGATATATATCTTATATTTATGTAAATATTTTACTCAAAATCAACAATATTTTATATATGTTAAATTTTATAAAATATTTTGTTTTTGTTTTAATTTATTAAATTTATTTATATATTTTTGTTTTTTATAAATCTTTTGTTTTTGTTTTTGTTTTAATTTATTAAATATATTTATGTGATTTGTTGTCCATAAAATATCGAATGCATTACCTTGGCTGGTTTGACTCCATCTAATTCAGCCCAAGGGATTGGGGTTCGAGTTCCCCTGCTTGCTTGTTGCGTTATTTATTGTTTTCTTTTAAGAGAGTGAGATGTGTCAAATAAATCTATTAATTTAAAAATAAAATAAATTTAGTCATTTAAATGAATGATGACATGTGTTATGATAGGTGTCACCAATGACACATGCTACCTCTTGATTCGAGGGTTAAACTTATTTTAATTTATTAAAATTATGATCAAATTAAAAGAATATATAAATAACAGTGATCAATTATGTAATTATATTAAACTGTTTTAAATGCCACATCATCACCTTCTTTAAATGTTAACGGAGGGTAGATTGATTAAACCATTTAAATAGTTGAGTGGTATGATGATCAAATCGAGCCATCGTTAGTGGTGCTAATCAATGCTAGTCGAATGTGGAAAAATCATCCAAAAGAAATATTCTCAAATTCATCTATTCGTTCTTATATCGTGTATGAATTATAAATTTAATTTATGCATTTCAATGTAATCATTTTTAGTTCTTTTATTTTTAAAATTTTAAAATTTTATTACAAAAATAAATCTGTAGTTATTAAATAGTAATTTCCTAAATCATGAATATTGAAATTATTTTTTAGAATATATTAGGTTTAATAAATTTAATAATATTTTTCAAAAAAAATTAAAATAAAGAAGATAAATATTTTTACCATAAAATTAAAAACTAGTATAGATTAAATCCAGGACTTAAGGAAATACTGAGGGAACTGGAGCAGTTACGATTTTTCAAGCAGAGTAAGTGTCTTGCCTCCCCTGTTTGGTTAAAGAAAGCAATGATTAACCAGTCTGCCCTTGAGCAGCAGAAACTAATAAAACTTAAAAATGGTTGAAAGGTGTTGAGAATAACTCATGCAATATATTCCAACAGCACTAGCCACACTGCCCTCTTTAGCCATATTAAAGTGGGGCATTTTTGCTATTGTACTAAAGCCAACCATAAACAGTTGTAGCAAAGCCAAAAAACATCAAAGACAGTGTTGCTGCCCTACCAATTTGCCAGTCTATTGATACCATGTCAGCAATAGCAGGAATTCCAGAAACATGAACCAAAACATTAGGACTACAAAGGGAGTGCACCAACCAAACAACATAGTAAAATAGGAAAGATAAAACATGTTACATATCACAACTAAATTCTCTCTAAAACCGCTATTTAGCAACTTCGCCTTCTTCTGCTGCAGCTTCAAAGGTCTCGCCGGGCACAAGTACCGGTACCTCATCATCATCATCATCTTCCTGAGCAATGGCTGCACCACCGTCAGCAGAAGGTGCCTGCTTCTGGAATTGCTCTGCCAATTTCCTCAAGTTATCCAAGTTATCCGGCCCTAAAGTTTGACAATACGGGTCAGACTTTTACACGAATTTGCAAGCAGGAGAAAATAACAAAAATGACAGCATAGTAGTACAATACCCAATTGGTTGATGATTCCGGGGAGAATATCCTGTAATTCTGAAACACATGAAGAGCACATGTCAAGAAACCAAAGCGAAAAATACTATCGGAAACTGCATAATGGCTGAGAGCAAACAATATTCTCTGTCTTTAAAGTTAATGACAGTGTATCTTCAAAGGGTAAATAGCATTAAGATTTGATCAACTTTCAAAGGCTTAAAAGTTAAGAGTGGCTTACTCTTGGTCTGAGGGGAACCACTAACAACCCAAGTGTTGGCGGCAATAGAAGCTTGGACTGAAATATAAATCATCGTGTACTAGTTACTATGCAAAACATTTGAAAAAAGTATGCGGTCCACTTCAGAAAAGCAATATCTACCTTTTGGATTAATAAACTGGATAACAACATCATCCTTAAATATGTTCACTTCCTCGATTGCTGGAATAGCATTCACTCCTATTCTCTTGAGGGTGCTCTGTAGCCGTTTGTCATCAGTGGAAGTTGTCTTGTGTACAGCCTTCTTCTTTCTGTTAACGTAGGTAAAAGTAACATGATAAGGATATGCAAACTATAAAAATACATTGAAATTCAAGCACTTTATCCAAATGCCATAGACTAAAAAAATTGAAGTTAGGAAAGACTAAGAGGGCAGCTAAAAGATTCTACATGTCGCTAATAAAGCACAGCAGGCAATAATTTGATTCAAGACTCAAGAGTCTCGCCTAAAGAGCTCAACAGCAGCTATGTCCAAATTTTTGCATCTGAGCAATCAACAAACTTCATATAGCTAGCCAATCTATGGAAATTATCATACCTTCTCATGCTACCCTTTCCACCAGTGCGGACTGCACCAGCCATCTTTGTGAGCCTCTCCACATTCATCTGTTCGTAACAGTAAACAAGTTAATAAGCTTATGAGAACTCAGAACAGAACAAATTAAATAAATAAAAAGAAACTATAGATCAAACATAAGAAACAATCATACACTAATATGGAAGCAATTAAATTAAAATAAGAACCCTCCTCAGCCATCACTGAGCAACATAGATTGAAAGCAAAAATAAAAAAGAATAAACATAAAAAGAAACAAAAGGCTGTCCATCTACATCACTTTTTGTTTCACATGCCTGCAATAATATAATAAGTAGAAGGGGAAAACAATGAAAAATAGTGGGAAGAAAAACTGAGAATGCGAAATCACAAAAGATAACAATATCATCAGATATTTGCAGAGAGGATGAGAACTTGAGAATAAAACATAAGCTTAATAATATACTAAATTTGAGTTGCCCAATGTTATTAAGCCTGAAAGGTAAAAGAATATAAGTTGAGGCAGCTAAAAGCATGCCTGTAAACATGAAAACCATCTTCAAACCTAAAAAAGGATGTAAACCTCAACCAGAAGCAGTCTTTTACTTAAAATCTTCCCAAAAATATAGTCTTTAAACCAAAACAATTCAAGTTAGCAGATCTAATGACGGGGAATGAGAGATAAATAGGAGTGCAAAATCAGACGAAACTAAAAGCTTGCTTTTATAGAACGTCAACGATACATAACTGGTAAATCAAATAGTGAAAGACTAACCTTTTACTAGTTAAGAATGGATACGCCGCGACTGCAATGGAAGGTTGAGAGATGAGGGTTTTGGTCTCTTTAGAACGCAGGGAGAACAGGTTCGCATCCAGTGTTTATCTTTATGGATTTTATCTCCACCCTTGGATTTTTAGGATTTTGATCCAACGGTTTAAAGGTCAAAACATTCGGTTCTTGTTTGTCTTTTTCTTCGTTAACCAAACGGTGTTTGTCTTGGCCACACGAACATAATTTTGAGTTAATTTTTATTTTCATTCAAAAATTTAAAAATTACAAATAAACATGAAACAAAATTTTAAGTTCGAACATAATATCTATAAAAATATTTAAAATTCATTCTTAAATTATTGAAAATTTTTAAAATAAATTTTTTAATTAATTTATTTACTAGATTTTATCTCAAAAACTACTTAATCTTTAAGATGTCCACAGACAATAAAAAAAACTTATGATGGCAGGAAATTGTTAGGAGTTATGGCAAGAAGACTTTATCGTTTTGTTGTGCTATTAAGATCAACCTTTAAAAGGCGTTTGACTCTCTTCATTAAGAGTTTATTTTGTGTGTTTTGAAGGCTTATGATTTTTCTCTGGTGTTTGTTAATTGGATTAGGAGTTGTATCACACACAAGGATTTCCGTTTTTTTTAATTGGGGTTGGAAGGTTACTTTGATGGTAAGAAGGAGGTGAGACAAGGAGGTGAGACAAGGAGACTCGTTGTCTCCTTACCTCTTTGTTTTAGCAATGAGTGTCTTGTCGAAGATGTTGGATGTATCTACTAAGGGGGAGTTTTCAAGTATCATCCTAAGTGTAAAAGGGCGGGGCTTACACACCTTAACTTTGTTGATGACTTGTTGATCTTTGCTAGAGGTAGTGTGGACTCAACTGAGGGGTTGGGTGTGTGCTAGAGGAATTTCGTAAGATTTCTGGATTCTGTTTGAATCCTATAAAGACTGAGGTATTTTGTTCAGGGGTTAGTGGGAGTGAGGTGGCCGATGTGCAGAAGCTTACAAGGTTTAAGCTTGGTTAGTTGTCAGTGAGTTATCTTGGAGTCCTCCTTCTCACTAAAAGATTGTCTGAGAAGGATAATGCTCCCTTGTTGGGGAGGATGATGGATACGATAAATGTATGGGCATCAATGTTGCTTTCCTATGCTGGACGCCTTCAACTAGTGTAGAGTATCCTTTATAGTTGGCTCAAATCTTCTCTAGGTTCTTTTAGAAGGGGTCTGATAAAGCGGCTAGGGGGCTCAGGTAAGCTGTTAAGGATTACCCTCTTTGGATTAGTTGGGCGGATGACTAGTAATGAAGGGTAGGGTACTGGAAGAAGCTGTTGAAGTTAAGGGGAGAAGTTGTCAGTTTATGGATGTCATGTCAGGTTGGTGGATTGGATTTGGGACAACTAAAGAGGTTTGAATGGTGACTCGTGTAAAGTATGAGAAGGTTGGTTGGGCAAGACTAGTTTGGTTTCCTATGTATATCCCTAGATGTGTAATGATTGTATGGTTTACGATTCTAAACCGGTTGCCAAACAAAAAATTTATGTTGAAATAGTGGATAGTGTTAGATGATGCTTGATATCTATGCTCTAATGAGGTGGACTCGAGGGAGCATATTTTTTTTCATGTGAGAATGCTATAGCGACGTGGAGGGGGATACTGTTGCTATGTCGATGGGATAAAACTGTCTGGAGATGAAATCAAGAGCTGGCTTGGGTGCTGGTTAAGGGTAGAAGGAGTACTCCGTTTTCGGTTCTGCTTAGGCTATCCTGGAGTGCCTATATCTATAGGGTATGGGGAGAGCGTAACTCTAGGTTTTTGGAAGGGGTCAGGGGGATTACGATCTTGATTAGGGAGATCCATGAGGATGTTCGCTTGAGGCTTATGAGGGCACTGATTATGGATAGACTTGATCCTGAACTCTGTAGAGTGGGGGTAAAGCCAGGAGGGTTTGGCGGGTTATGATTTTGTTTATATTTCTTGATTGTCTGGTTTGTTTGGCAGGTTTTTGGTTATTTGTAAGGATTGATGGCTGCTTGACCTTTGTCATTGACTGTATAGTTGTAGCAGATCTCTATTTTCATGGGATAATAGAAGTTATTCATCCAAAAAAAAGTCAGGGTGTTTTCATAGCACTTTTCTCCATATCATTGGTATTTGTCTCGGTATCTATGATGTTTTTTTTTTGTCATATAATAGTGTTTGGTTGTGGTGGGTAAATGGGGTTTTTTTATTAAAAAAAATGGGTGGATTGAACATAATTCAGGGGATTACCAAATTATGTATCGCAGAACATTCAATAGATTGACTCGGTTCTTAACAAGGAATTGCCTTGTAGGGTTGGCAGAAGTAGAACCACGACGCTTATCATATCGCTTGTAACAACAGCGTTCTTGAATTGAACCTTCAGCAATAATGAATTTATAGCAAATAATTTAAATCTCCACAACTTTTTTGTTTCATGAATGCATAACAAAGAACAAAGCTGATAATATTATATACATATCTTTTTTCGATAACAAATCGTTTACCAATCATTGGATACTAATCTTGTAAGAAATATGTTTAGATTTTTCATTCATTTAAAACATTTTTCGTCCTATAAATCTCTTTATTTTCTGTCAAGTTTACAACGACTTATCATTTTGTAATTTGTCCAACCAATCTATTCTTACTCATTAACTTTTTCATGTTGGTAATAGTTATTGCTACTGCTGATTATTTAGGCCTCATATCAATTCCCACCATTTTCTCGTTCATTAATCACATTGACTTAAATTGTTCACCATTGTTGTGGTTTTAATATGTCGTAAGAATATAACATTCAACGTGTAGACAATCGTTTTCATCCTAGATTTATGTTGTATTTTTTGTTATTTTAATATTATAATTATGTATATAGTTTTATTATATAAATATATTATTATGGATTTTAAAATATATTATGTTTTGAAAACGTATAGTTTTGAAATATATATATATATATATATATATATTAAATATATATATAGTTTTATTTAAAATATATGTTATATTTTGAAAAAAAAAATATTATTATTTCTTTCTTTTTTATTAATTTTTTATTTTAGGTCCAGTCCAAGTCCAAAGCAAAGGTATGAATTACAGTTCAAATCAGGAATTCAACAAAGGTCCGATAAACCAACTTGTCTGACCCAACAAGCAAGAGTCCAACAGATAGGCATGCGTGACCCACTAGACCAATCTCCCAAACACAGAGAGCAATGGTATAATAGACGAAGGCCCAGTCACGAGAGCCCAAGGTGTCTGACCAAACACCACAGGGTTTTCACATTAAGTTATAACGTCGCATGGGTGAGGGCCTTTACGACCAAGATTAGGAGTAGCTAGGGTTACAAAACCTTAGATTTTATGGCATCATGCGCAGCCGATCCACAACTTTTGGATTATGCATTCAATCCAACTACCACGATTACACCATGAGCACCCCAAAGTCACAATCGACAGGCGACAGGAGCGTGATCTTTATGTGCCGACGAAAGCAGCCCATACACATCGAACATAATCATTTTAGGGCATTTTGGAAACAAAATCGAAGCAAATCAATTACAAAATCAACAAAGAATTTTTCCAAAACGATAATCAATAGAATAAAGCCCATAATCGAGGGAAATAAAAGCATGCAAGGTCAACTCCATCGAAAAAAGGCAACCGAGAACAACAAAATGAGAATATGAAAATAATCCCATCAATTTTGGGATCTCATGGACTCGAGATTAAAGGAAAAAACCCTTCCCATGATGTTATAAGAACCTGTAAAAATCAAAATGGGGGACCAATTTTTGAAAGAGATAAAACACTAAAAAAACCCGCAAAGAAATAGGGGACTTAGCTTTGAGGGTCTTCACCATCATGGAGGAACGCACGTTCATCAAAATAGACTAAATGTCATTGAAAATTTGAGGGATTATCTTCAAAAAAAGGTAAGAAAGCATAGGGTTATTGTTAGATCTACTCCGGAAGAATTGTTGCATGTCCGTTTAGTGATCGGATTTGGTTTTGGGCTAAAGAAATGAAGAAGTTATGGTAGGTTTTTGGTTTTCACCCACCATGGGTGATGGTCAGAGCGGCGACAAGGCGACGAGCGGTCAGATTCTAGGTTTGTTTGGGATTTTGGTTGAGTGAGTTGAGAGAATTTGAGAATTTTGGTGAGAGAATTTGAGAATTTTGTGGGGAGAGGTATTTGAGAAATGATATGAAATGAGTAGAAAAATGGGTTTTAGGTATTTATATATGAGATACTAATATGCAATTACAAGTATTTTAAATCATTTTCGAAGTTCCTGGTACTTTGATGTGTAATTCGTTTTGGTTTATTATTTCAATTTAATCCATAAATTTTATTTATTTTTAATTTAATCCTTATATTTTATTTTACATTTTTTTTTATAAATAAGTACAATGACCCTTTTTTACAGTGTTTTAATTACATCTTTATTATTTATTTATTTATTTTTAAACATTAATTTTATTTCTTTAATGGAATCCCATCCAACTTCAAATGACCGTAAAAGGTAAATAATTCGGATAAAGTTTAATTTAAATTTTTATTTTCACGATTAAGACAACCAGATAGTCAATTGGTACCGAAAGGGTGATTCGAGGGTGCTCATCATTCCTTGATTGTAAACGACTCATGAATTTGAAAAATCTATGGTAAAACATAGATCTAGTAAATGGTAAGTTCGAGGTGTCCGATCTACCTATTTCAAAAATGATCGGTGGTGACTCCATCACATTCAATCCAAGTCAGAATGTGAACCCGAGACTGCCCGAAGGAATGTTGTGATTGCTTGGAGACTTCGCCGAGGACTTTGCAAGTCAGGCAAAAATTGATTATCGGCTGTCTTTTTTAGGCAAAAATTGTAAGTTTATGTTGTAATTTATTTTTGATCTTTTTTTATTTACCTTTTTTTTATTTTATTTTTGAATAAATAGTTGTACTGATGTGTGCTCTTAGTGTTTTTCATATTTTTCAAAAGATACATTTTTCAATATCTAAACCCGAGCTTTAAACCCGTTTAAGTGGGGGTGAAAGCGAAGCCTTCGTGAGAATTTATTCTCCGTGTTAGGCCTAGACACTAA